TATTTATTTTTTTAACTTAGGTTTTGTTTTGTTTTATTGTGAGTGTGTAGGGGTTTCATGTGGAGGTTTTTATGGGGTTTTGTGAGGTATTTTTTCTGGAGTCAGTGAATCAGGAATATCTTTCATATCCGCCCCTGTGAGCTTACCCAAGGCAGATGAACAAAGATCTCTTGTTGTACGCAGCTTTCTCAACAACTCAGGGCACTGTTAATATTGCCCTGTCAAATCAATTTATTTCAGAAAGAGAAGCAGCACCTGTCAGGGGAGTACAGTGTCTGATAAGTGAGAGTGCTTCGGGGGAGCTGGCCAAGCTTCAGAAGCCAAGCTTCATTGCCTGCCCCATCACCTGAAAACTTCTCGTTTTCTACGCTCCACACTAACATGTTACACTGGATACAGTCCTGCTCCAAACAGGCATTTCACAAGGGCTGGGGAATTCACTGCAGAACAGCCTGTTACATTTTAGTTATCCATGTCTGAGGTCCATGTCAATGGGAGTTGAAAAATATATTTTAAAGTTCACCTTAGGTTATAGTATCTGGTGTGTGCCAACTTTCTTTTTTTAATAAAATCATTTCTCAGTGAGTCTAGACATGCCACACAGTGGCATGCTAAAATACTCGATCCATTATAATTCCTTCTTGCTTGGGCTCCTCTCTGTGCTCCTGCTTGTGTGTGTCTTCAGAGGAAGGTGAGTATTTTTCTTTGAAAAAAAAGAGTGCTTTGCAGCATGACTAAACTTGAAATAATACAAAAATTTTCTCTGGACAGTTGGTGATTAGTAGTTTCCTTGAGACTTTGAATCAGGATTCTGTTGTGTTACAGGAAGCTTCAAGGGAGTGGGAACAGTTCAATAATGAACAAAACATTAGTCTCGGTTCATCAGGTGTGCTTGTTCCTGTTGCCATGAGGGCTCCTACTGAGACTGGGCTTCCTTGGGTCATCCCAACTCTGTCTTCTGTTGGCAAGAACATCTTAGAGATGAACAGCACTAAACTGATGAATTCCTCTGATTCTGCATTAGACCTGTGAAAAGCCTGTGTGGGATTGCATTGTCAGTCAGGGGGACTGTCAGCGGTAAAAATGCTTTTAACTCATTCATTTGAAGTAAAATACTCTATGGTGTCAGGATCTCCAAAAAATCTGGGTCAGGCTGTGCTTCTGAGGGGCCTTTCCAGTTTGTTTTTTTAAAAATTTGTTGCTTGGGGTTGTTTATTTTGTTTTGTGGTGGTTTTTTGTTGTTGTTTTTTTCCTTCCCTGTTGTGTTTGGCTGCTGTTGGAATTTGTCTTCAGTGTGGCCAGCAAGGAGGCCCCTGTAGCAATGGCTTCCCAAAGCACCAGTAGGGAACCTGCTGTTGCAGTTGTGTGGCTCTTGATACTTAGGCTTGTCTGATCAATAGGGTTTGGTTTGAAAATCTGCCAGTGGATTACAGGGCCTGTAGCATTTGCTGCCTAATGCTGACAGATAATCCCTGTATTTAAGAGACTGCTTTTCTTTCAGTTAGTTTATTCAAGTGAACATTCAAACAAAATTAAAAAGAAAAGAAAGAATAAAAATACCCCAACAAAATGTCTAAGTCTAAGGCAAACCTGTTATAAAATACTTGCCTCAGAAAGAAAAAACTCAACCCTTTCTGATCAAAATTGCCTGTTCTCAGTCCATTCACTTCAGGATTGCTCTGAAACAAAACTACTCTGGCTTTGGTCCAAAATCAATCTGTGAATGTGCCAAAAATGTGATAAATGTTAATCAAATGTAATGTAATGAATCAGCTGTGACATTTTATTATGGAAATTAAAAATCATGCAAAACCTTGCCTAAGGAAAATAAATTGTCAGGGAAAATACTAATTTTCATGTGATAATTAAATTTTCTTTTCCTTTCATTTCCATGTCTAAAAATGTTTCAGTTACACTTTTTATAACAGGCATTTGGTATGAAAGCCATTTCAAGCAGGATTTAATTTATAGAATTGAAAAGAATTACCTCTCCCACTTAATTGCAGGAAAACAGAAGTGATGTGGGGAATGGTGATGCTGTTTTGAGGGTCAGAAATATCTAAAAGATTGAAAAATCAACTTACTCTTTTCCACAACTCTTTTAAGGAATTATGCTGCTGTCCAGTGGTGCCTGTTTTCCTTGCCATTCAGGAAGAATTTTGAGTGTGGGCTTATCATACCTGTAATGAAATGCTGCTAGAATTTGTCACCTCAGGGAGAGCCCCAGCGCATGGTGGGCTTGCTCCAGGGACATAGTCCTAAGAGTGAAATATTAATAATGAAATTGTATTTTTGTTGGGTGGGCCTGGTGGATTTGCCTTCAAGGTCTTGAATTTGTGGGTCTGTACTGAATCAAAAGGGGAGTCTGTCTGGCAGACTGTGTCTGGTGTGATGTGTTCACAATCATTTGGGAAACCCCTCTGTAAAGTGCCCAAGCTCTGCCCTATGAGCAACAAACATCTCTTGCATTTCCCCCCTTGATAATCATCCTTCCTAATTTCCATCTCATCTGCATTTCCAGCCAGCCATGATCACTGTTATGTTTAGTTGTTGTTTGGTTACATTTGTTTTGGTGCAGCGTTTTCTGCCACTTTGTAAGTGACAATAAGATCCCTTCTTGGGTGTCACTTTGCCAGCCCAGGCAGGTTCAGGCCTTGGCATTGACACCAGGATTTCTCTTTGTGCAATTTTTCTGTTTCTGGTTGGTTTGAATTTGCCTTTCCTGAAAATGAATGGCTCCTACTTTGCACAGCATGTCAGAAATGGTCTAATTCTAAGAAATATCTTACAGAATAGTATTGAAGAGATGATCCTTATTCTGTCTGAGCACATCTGTTGGAATTATCTTTATTTTTACATCCTGAAGTAACATTTGCCCGTTTTGTGGTGGTATCACAACCACTTGTGGTCAGCTGTTACGGAATTTCCTCCTCATTTCTAACTGTTAAAACTTATAGCTGCATGCAGAAGTTTTTATTAGTCTCCAGGTATATGACCCACCACTTTTTTTCACTGATTTTTTTTCTGTAGCTGTTACTCATCAAACCTGTGTGATCTTTTCCATAGGTTAGTCCAGTCCTCCTGCCTTGGCAGGGTTTCTCAGCTTGGAGCTGTCATCCAACAAATTTCATCAGTGCAGCTTTACCTTTTGTGTAAGTGCTGCTCATTAAAATACCAGGTCAGATTGGTGTCACAGTTTGTCCTTGACATGACAGTCCCCAGTAATAACCTCTGTTGCAGCTTGACTTTATTCCTTGATACTACTAATAACACAGATGTTTTGAGGCCATTTCTTGGGAATATTCCAGGATATTTAATATTTTATCACTTTCAAATTGCAGTGGACAAAAGCCCTAATATATTTAGGATGGTGTACTCAGTTTTAATAATATTGTTTCATTATAAATAAATGTATAGTAAAAGTATAAAAAGTAGTGCAAGAGTATCTATGAAATTGTCTTTTAAATAGTCCTGCTAGTCAAACAAAACACTTGCAATACACTTGTGATACTGATTAACATGAACAATGTCCTGACTGCCCAACAATGTTATGTGCCACTAGGCACATAACATTGTGCCTAGTCTGAACATGTGTTCAAATCTCCTGAATTTGGCTGGCATAAACAGGGCTAAAAATAGGTGTGGCATGTTATTTTGGATAAAGCTGAGTGTACTTCTGTATCACCACAAATGGTGCCTCTTTCTGATCAAACTAGCACTGGCATCCACATTAGTTAAGGCTGAGTTTTCATACCACAGGACCTTGAGCTAATGGTTCTTTCTCTAACCTTTCTGATCCTCCAGCTGCAAATCTTGTTGACTATTATTTTTCACACAACACATTTTGTATGTTCTGTTTTGTCATTATCTTGTTTGGGTGTCTTGACCTGCCTGATTTTACTAAAGTCTCAAAACCAAAACACTACCACAGAATTTAATCCCTCAGGTCAGATCCTCCTGTGCAAGTTCTCTTTAGATTTTGAATCATGAGGCATCTTAGAGAATTGTGTTTTGCTTAGTTGAGGTATTTGTAAAACTCATGGACTTGAATTCTTTCATCCTTCAAACATCTGATCTTGCTATTTTCTGATTCCTTTAAGCACAAAGGGAAGATTCAGTTCCTCATGTAATGGTTCTTCCATCTTCCTTGTCCTTAGCAGGACATCACAATTGCCCGTGGTCTGATAACATGCTTGGGCTGTACACATTGGCTTCTCCAGAGGCTTTAGTTGCCACTCTGGTGAGATAAGTAGTGAATGTGAACAGAGAGAGGGCATCCAAGCTATTTAACTAGTTTGTGAATCATTGGAATAGAGAGGAAGGAAAAGAGGAACAGAGAAAGCCATCTCCAGAGGATTGCAGTACAGCTTACCAGCAGTTCTACTGGACCTCTGGTTTCTTTACCTATCCAGGAGACATAGAACATTTCATGGTAGTTTGCTAGTGTCTGATTATATAAGCACCAGAAAGTATTATGCAGTTTATAAAACAAGTTTTCCCATTGTAGTATTACACTTTGTATCATTTTTGAACATGAAATTTTTGGCACTGAAGAGGAAAATATGTTGAAAACAGATCTTTGCTACATTTTTCTTTGTTGTGTTACTTTTCTGTTTCACTGTGACCCCTCTGTTTCATGCTTGATACAGTTATTTGGGAGGTTGTTTTCTGAAATTCTTCAACTCTGAGGAAAGGCATTTGGAGACTTGGTGTGGTGGTCTAGTTTGATAGAGTATTTTTGTCCTTCTATCACACAGCTAGAATGCAGAGAGCCTTTCCCAAAAAACCTAATGGTGTAGAACATCATCTCTTTAAGCACGGAACAATTTATGTTAACAATGCTACTCTTTTACACTGGAAAGAATCAGTACTTTGTGACAAAGCTGCTGCATGTCCCAGTAGGTTCTTTGGATTTAGGTCTGTCAGCGAAGTATGACTGCAGTGAATGATTGCTGGTTGCATTTGGAGTGCTTAAATATAACTTTGTTTTATTAAAACAGGTGATCTGTCACAGCTTGTCCACTATACCTTCACAAACTCAGTGTTTTGACATTCTCCAGACTGGCATCTGTAAATATCTGGTAAGTACCATTTTGTCTTCTACGTTAAAATTTCCTTGTGATCAATTTGCTAGCAGTCTCATTAATCCTCAAATCCACTTATCCTCTGTATTTAATATATAATTTCAGCATTTAAAAAAGCTTTAAACAAGATTTGGGGGAGTTTAAAAAATACATAATAACTGTTGGTATCTAAACTTATATGGGTCATTTTGCTCAGATTTGTGAATATTTGAGTGTGTCTTTGAGGCAGTTTGTCCATAAATTAAACACTTCCTGGTTTGGTTTGCTTTGCAGAAGAGCAACCAGCAGCTTTAGATGAGGTTTTTTACTTCATCTATGTATATAATTATATAAAGAATGCCAAGCTGATGGAGGCCGGGTTCTTTGTGGTGCTGAGCAATATGACAAGAGGCAACAGGCAGAAACTGATGCTGAGGAAGCTCTCCTTGAACATGAAGAACGTCTTTACTGTGTGGTTGACTGTGCCCTGAACAGATTGCCCACAGATCATGTGGAGTCTCCCTCACTGGAGAGACTCAAGAACTGTCTGGACACAATCCTGTGCTATTTGCTTTGGGATGACCCTGCTTGAGCAGAGCAGGGAGGTTGGACCAGATGACCATTGTGGTCCCAACCTGACCCATTCTTGGGTTTTACAGCCTGACTTCTAATCCTGAACATGCCTGAGCTGAAGATGGGGATGGCAAACCAGAGCTGGGTAACAGAATGGTCAGGGACAGAATCTGCAATTCTCTATGATGCTGCCTGACGAGAGGGAGGACCACAAGTTCTGCCCCTGTGATCCTGTCAGGGTGGTTCTTTGATTTAACCAGTGTCTGCCATTCTTTGCTTGGAGCCATACTGAGAAGTTACTAGACCAAAGCTTCTGTAGGGAGTAGCTTGCCTATAACTGTAGTCTGGATTTTTAGGGGTGGATGTTGATTTTAATCAACTTTTAAAAAGGTTTATATGTTCTACTGCCTTGTCCCTTTGAGAGCAAACCATTAAGTAGGTTTTTATGGTTGGCAAGGCTGCTGTCCAAGGTCTCCAACTGGCTGCTGACACCTCTCAGGGAGCAAAGTCACCATGGAGGCAACATCCTATATGGGAACTTATATGAGCAGCCTCATCTACTAGACTTGTATAAATATAAATATCTCTGTTCCTGTCATCTTTCAGACTGGCTGACCAGCACATTCCATCAGTAGTGTTGGCCCAGCTGGTCTTCAGGATGGTTCTTTATATCCATCTAGATTACTGCCACTCAGGAAAAATGTTACTAATTTTAATTGTTTGGTGCCTCAGTGTCCTGTAGTATTCAGCAGGGTCATGGTGACAACTGCAGTCCCACCTTTTGTCAGGCAAGACCATCATCCTCCTTCTGCCCCTGATTGGCACAGGGTCAGCCTGGGCTAGCAATCTGTGCTTGTGGCCTTGAAATGCACCCTGTGCCTTAGGCTGGAAAGATTTAGAAGTTTTTAACTCATAGTTGTTCTGTACCTCTTACCTTCACAATTAATGGTATGAATGAAATACATTTCATGTTTCTGTAGATTGTACTTTATTGATCTTTTTTCCTAAACATTTCTAAAAGAAACAGCTAACCTTGTTAAGTGAACCAACTCCCTCTGTCAGCTTAAAACAGTGTACATGCAGGTGAGCAAATTAGACTGCTCTCAAACTCCTTGAATAGGTCTTTAAAGGTAAATGGTGCCACACTAGCAGTGCATGATTTTTTTATGGCTTTACGAGACAAAATTCTAGGGTACTTACTCCATAGTACTTCAAAATTTAAACTGCTTTCTAATTCACTGCCTCTACAAAATCAAAGAATTTTCTCTAAATTATTTATCATGCCTATAAAATCCTTACTCAAGATGATGTTCTCTCTTTAACAATAGCAGAGCACTTTGGGCTCACCATATATTTCATTAGCTTTGATTTACCTTAATTCATAAAGCTCCTGTTGAGCTTCAAAGGAGACTCACCCTGCTGACAATCCAGTAGCTTTCCTTTCTGTAGCATAAATCAGAGTTTCCTTCTACCTCACTGACTGCTCACTGCCATTTCAAGACTCAGAAGGCCTTCCCAGTCCCATGATATATGCTTAAAAGGAAAGACCTGTTCTGCCCAGAAGATTGTTTGTGCCTGCACTGTCATTCAGAGCAAAGCAGTGCTCTATTCTGCAGATATGTTTGAGATGAGTGTTTGTTTAGAAGGCATGGAATGAAGATGTCAATTTAACCTTCTGTTGGTATGGGTGGCAATTTATTGGGAAAGCTGGGATTTGAAAAAATGCAATGGTCTGTAGAGTTTGAACAGAAACAAAGAAATACATGTCACCATAGGAAAGCTCTAGGATTGTTTGTATCCCAGCAAAAAATCTTTTGTATAAAGGGATGAACTTGGGTTGTTGGTTTCTTTGTCTCATTTTAATACAGGTTGGATTGGTTGTAATACCCGACAGCACAGCTGGATCTGTTCTATGTGCCATAAATAAGCTCTTGGATCAAGCCTGCATCATAAGTGAAAACCTGCACAGGTTCTTGGCCTCTTGTTGTTACAGTCTTCTGTACTTTCTCTTAACTATAGACAGAGAGGATGCAGAACATTTACAGAAAAGGTAAAGCTGTTCTTCTTACCATCTTGCCTCTATCTTTGCAGACACAAGTATTTAGAGATGTGAAATGAAAGGATACCCCCTCCCCCCAGAGGTTTTTTTCCTGTCTCTTTTTTGCTTACTTCAAATTAGTACTTAGATTTAAGAAAAACATCTGCAGAGTTACCAGGAATTACTTGAAACAGTAACTGAAAAATGTTTCATCTCAAATTGTTCTACTTGGATGTCAAAACGATCCTGATTTTGTAAAGTTGGATATTTATACCTTAATCTTTAACCTTGGCTTCATTAGATACATTGAAATGCACAGCGCAAAGGATTTGGCTTTGTACTCTTTGTACTCCATGCAAAGGATTTGGTATGTACTCTTAACTGATCTGATGTTTCAGTTTTAAAACTTCTCAGGCATCATTACATAGACTGCAAAGCCATTTGATTTAAAAAACCCAAAAGCTACAGATAACGACTTCAAACAAATTCACCTGAAATGAAGGCATGTCTTGAAACAGGCCAAACTTTTCCATATACAGAAAAGTTGTTAAAAACTTCCTGAAAATTCAGAGCCCAAGTCCTCCTTCTCTTACTGTATTTAATGACTTGTGTATCACAAATAGTTAAGTCCATTATTTAATTTCTTATGAATCTTAAACAAAGATTTGGGTGTACCTGAAAAGTGACTGAAACTAAAACCTCTCGGCAGCTGTTTGAAGGAGAAATTGCACTGTGAGAGAGATTAAGCAACATTTATAGCTTCCAGGGCAGGGCCTAATTTATTTTCCAGCACTGTACAAAATTTTGGAATATTTTCAAGTTTGGCATTTTCTGGTACAGAATTTTCTGCTTTGCACTAATTCTGGTGAATGCAGCTGGTGTGATTCAATCCACAGAAACAGGTTTCCTTGTACAGCCATGCAGCCAGTTCACAGAAGCATCCTTGAAATGTGTGTCCTCAATCATTTCAATTTTGATTATCTTTTCCTCTCAGGGACATGCTGTGGAGATCATGCATTTCTGCATTAGCACTCCTGCCACGGTTACTGAGGCTGATGCTGCAAAGCCTGCAAGTGAGCAGGATCTGTCGGGAAGAGCTGCCCGTTGTTGCTCAGCTGCTTCGCTTACTAATGCAGCATGGGCAGCTCAGGAGCCATATGATCACAAATGAGTTTCTGGTGCAACAGATCATCAAGGACATCATGGTATGAAACAGCTTCTTGTTCTTGTTTCCCAGAGACCATGTGTACGTCATGTTTATTTTTAAAAGTCGTTGCAAACAGTCAGGAAGAGCAATTTTCAAACAGTGATGGTGAAAGCCGCTCTCAATGCAATGTTATGGTGAGGTTCTCTAACCTGCAGGTTAGGAGGGGGTTGTTTCTCTTTAGTGTTGAAAATGCCCAACCAATTCTTGTGCTGTTGCACTGTGGGTGGGTTGTATTTGTGCTTGTTGAGTTTTTTTAAGCCACCTACATAATCCTGAGAAGAAGGAATTCCTGGGCTGGGGTAGTCTGTTGGTAGCAGTTCTCCTTAGACTGGGCTGGGGAGCTCTCCTGCACTGGTAGCACCATGCTCATTTGCATTTTAATTGCCTATAAATTGCAGAATTGCAAAGTAAGTGAGCCATTCTAATTAAGAGTAAGGAAAGCACATCTGGTGTTAACTCACACACTTGGTAATGTAATGACTGAGTGTACCCAGTTGTAACACTTTATTATTTGGGCTTTAACAGACACACCGTGTTGAAATGTATAAAAGAGAAGAACAATGTTACTGTGTGCAGGGCAACAGGGCTGTCTTGTACTTTTAACAGTGCACCTGATTACCTGTAAAAACAAAACCAAGTTTTGCAAATGCTTGAGTTTTATTTACCTTTTTTCTTCTTTCTAGACACTGAAGAGCGGTGAAGTTCAGGAGCAGTGGCTCACAGACCTCCATTACTGTTTCAACATCTACCTTGCCTCTCATCCCCAGACACCTGGCCCTATAAACACGGTATATTGAAGAGGTCAAACCATTTATTGTAAAGCATTTACTTCTATTTAGTTTTGAATGGAAGATGTTGGAACAAAGCTTGTCAATTTTTTTGTAAGTGAAACAATAAAAATTTTACAGAGAACTGCTATACCTCTGTTGCCTTTTTTTCAAGCAAGTAGATCTTACTGGAAAGTGTTTTAGTAAAATGTGGTGACCACAGTGAAACCCAAGTCCTTGATGCTGAAGAGCTTGCAGAGAAACAGACTCAAACTGACTCTGCTCATCTATTATTTTGAAGCATCACGTTATTTAAAAAAACAGTACAATTGTGTAGTATCAAGGAGAAGAAAAAATTATAAAACCATACGCCTTAGAGTAACATTTTTTATTTTCGCTGAGTTCATATTTTTAAATACTTTGTGCAAGGTAAATACTGTACAGTGTGGCAGCTCCAAAGCTATTATGAGAACTAATTTTTTTCTAGAATAGGGCCCATTTTGTCTTGCTTCTCTATTTAATGCACATAGAAAAAGAGTTATTTAAAAAATTTGTGATAATTTCCAAGGGTAGAAAACACAGCCCTAGTAGTTTCCATAGGTTGTGAAAGTAATTTCTTTAGTGTTTTATGTCAACATGTCTACATTTCCTTCCAAATCCATAGTTAGCTAAGGAAAAATTGTTTCTTTAGTAGAGGAGTGGCACATGAAGACTGTTCTTCCATTCCTGCTTTGATTTTGAATTAATTTAATTAACTTGAGGTAAAATTAAACATTGGTTTCTCAGAACTGTAATAGCTTTAGTGCAGTTTCCCCTCTTTTTTTGAAATGCTTTTTGATAAACACATTCAAAATTCCTATGTTTTGCAATGGAAAGCTTTGATTGCCTCTACTCTGTTATTGCAATACTGGGCTTAGTGCTTCGTCTTCTGTCTTCAAATGCAATTTGGATTTCATCCTGTATTGGTAAAGAAATTAGCAGTTGCATTTAAAAACCAGTTTGTACACAAAACGAGTCCAGCTCCTTAGGAGTTTGCTTGGTATGTAATGCTGTGGTAATATAAAACTGAAAATGTTCAAGTTTAATACACCATAGATGGCTTATACATTATGAAAGATAACAGCTGTACTGGAATGGATTTTGAATTCCAAACATTGTTTTGCTTAATGCTTCAGTCTTGTATTTTTTGGTTTTGCAGCAGTGGTTGGTCTCATGTTGTATGAAAATTGCCTTGATTTTCCCATGTTCTCCAACAAATTAACACACTGTAGGTTGCTCACTGTAAAAGAACAAAATAGTTTCGATGAGTAACCTTAGTGGGTGAAAAGCAGCTTCAGCTTCATCTACACTGTGTTCTAGATTTCATAAGCAGCGAATCTACTAGGATCAGAAAATGCCTTTTTCCTGTCATCTCACTGCTGATTGTCTCTCAGCAGTTTGGTTTCTGCAGCACTGGGTAGAGCTTCTGTGGAACATTGATGATGTTGCTGCTGTGTGTGGGACTTGAGCAGCCTCTCATGGGTGCAGTGAGGTTCACCCCCATAAATTAATGTTGGGCTCCAGACCAACACTATACTCTTGGCTGAATTTGCTGAAGAGCAGAAAAAGATTGTGTTGAGCAATTTTAGCAACATGAGGTAGGCAGTGGGCTCTTTCTAGAAGGTCAGGGAAAGTAGTCCAGGGGATAAAGTGAGTGCTCTGAATTGCTTATGCAATGTTTTTTTTTATTTCATGTAATGTGCTACAAATAATATGACTGTTTTCCTTTCCCAGGTTTGTAAATATTAGCTGCTGTAAAGATTTCAGTGCTTTATCCCAAGCCAGAATGGGATAAAGGGTGATCCCAAGTGCAAATCCAAATGTTTCATTGAGGGTGTGAACTCAGCAGATCTTAAGGACATCTTTCTAATGCCAAGAGTTGCAAAACCTGCTCCTTTGCAGCTCTGAACACACTTTAATGTCCACAGTGAAACAAAGAACCAGGCTGTCTGGTTCTGCTGCAGAGCACGTCTTTAGCTGCCACTTGCTGAATTGACAAAAGGAATCTTATTTAATTTTTAAAAGCCAAACAAAGTAGAAAAAGAACAAATTTCAAGTTCTGAAATGTTTTAATGGTAACAATCTTAAAGGGCCTATTTGCAGAATATTCCAAAGCACTTAACCCATGCCTGTATCTCCCATCCCTTTTCTACCTGTCACCTGCCTTACTGAACAGTTCCTTTGAACACCCTCTACATATCCCCCCATCCAAAGTGTTTGAGTTGAGTGTCAATCCCCATGAAAGATTTGTCATCGCACACTTCTTCCACAAGCTCTATGAACATTAAAACTTGGGCTGACAGTCAGCCTTCACCTTCCCAGATGCTCCTGCAAAGGAAGAATGAAACTGAACAGTCCATTCTGACCTACTCCAGGCACCTACGTCAGAAACTGAGTATCTGGCATTAGCCACTGACAGCTCTGAACTTTTCCAACAAACGTAATGTTGTCATGCACAAAGGCAGGCAGATGAAAAACATGTTATTGTCTTTTAAGTAAGGGCTAAAGTTCCCTGAGCTCCTATTAGATGAATAAAAGTAGGTAGTGTTCTAAAGGAACTGGGCAGAGTTCCTATCACTAACCTATTCGTCACCAAGTTATGAAAGCAAAGGCCACTCCAGCCTCAAGAGAAAGCCTTTTTATTTCAGAAGACAGGGAGATCTGTTGTCCTGAAAAGTTAAACGAGAAGAGCTAAAAGCTCTTTTAAAATTTAGATTCCTATCTGCATGAAGAGGTGGCAATCAAACACTTGTCTGGTCATGCCTCTTAATTAAAACAGTTCCCAGGCAGTGAAAGAAAAAGGCCCCTGTCTCTTAGTGAGGCAGAAATTCACCTACAGTTCTAACAAACTCGAGGATAGGTCCACTGTTAGATTTCCTTCTGACTTCAGAGTTGTATTAAACTACTTGGAAAATGTATTTTACTTTCCTTTGCAAATTACCTAAACTGACTCTTTGAAGCAGTTGCTGTGTTCCCATCTAGCTGTGGCCTGTCTGCCTGAGGTGTAGCACAGCCAGGAACTCCAAATGCCCAGTGGGGCACTAAACCTTCACGTGGTGAAGCATCAGCGTTCCCACAGCTCCCAACCCCAAGTAAGTCCATAATACACTTTAAAAAGACTGACAAATGGCATTTAGTAAAGAAGCTTTTAATCCAAATCACTCAAGGATAGAAGTGCAGCTCAGTTAAGCCCAAAAAATGTTGAAAGAAGAAGTGTGCAATCACAAATAGTTTACCAGTAGTTACGCATTTTGATAAGACAGCCCAGTCCTTAAGCAGGTTGTTTTCATATCTAAGAGGAAACCATTCTCAGGTATATAAACATAAAAATACTCTTAAAATGGATGTGTCCTACCTGAGACCAACTGCACATCAGAAAGTTTCAGCTTAGAAGGAGGTCTTGTTGACTGACACACTTTGCCTTCCTGAGAACGCCCTTTAACAAACAATGTGAACATCTCTGTGTTTATCATACAGACATGTAGTTGTGCATAGCTGCAAACTATTTCAGTAAGCTACAGCATTATTTTATCCTAAAAATTACTCTCATTTTTTATGGGGAAACTCATGAGACATTTCATATGACAGAAAATCACGACAACCACAAGTGAAATTTAACTAATGTTAAAATAGATCTTGCAATACTTTTCCTGTACCTTTTCTTGAAGATGCATTTCTTTGCATGTGCACGTTCAGGCACAGTGCAAAGCAGTGCAAAATTATAAAAGACAACCTTGCTCTTGCTATAAAGACCACATCTTCATACAGGAAAGTTATCAACATGGAACACAGTCTTCATATGAAAATATTTTTTAAACAGTACAAAACAAAAAAAGTTTAAAACAATGCTTTAAAAAACCAAACCATCCAAACAGCCAGTCTGCATGGATACAGCCAGCTATCCCCAGCTTACTGCTCTGTTCTCTTTCCACACATACATATGAGCAGCTCTGGCAATGGAATTATTTGATTCCTTAAGACCTGTGCTGAAACAATGCTGAGTGGGGATTCAAACAGCTTTAGCAGCAGCCATTTTAAATCACTGAGTTGTTTGGTTTATTTAACCTGAAATAGAAATACAATTGCCCAGAACACCTGAGACTCATTTTTATAAATAGTTGAAATTCTTAACAATTAGGTAAGAAGTGCATAGATGAATAGATTCTGTTATAAAATTGAAAGCATAGTTATACAAATAAATTATAGTGAAAAGAAAATTACCATATATCTGCTTTAGGATGGACTGCTTGCTGGTTTTTATGGCTGAGCTGGTTTTGTTTACAGATTTCAGATTTTTACATGAAGGAACTGGTTTCAGAGGGCCATGGTTCAGCTGCTTCTTCCAAGCAACCTGAATGAAGAAGGCAGCTGCCTCTTGTCTCCATTTGTCTTCATCTTCCTTGCAGTGCCGCTTAGCACTAAGGAGCTGAAACAACTCCTGTCTTAGCTGGTAACTAGAGAGCAGAAAAGAGAAGAGCACTTGTTTTAGGTGACCTGTTTTAACTTCCGTGCTTTCCACGCATCAATTCACATGGTGGATTACATGAGTAACTGGGAAAACAGAACTCCCACTGATGTGCTAAGTCACTTGGATGACAAATGTTTGTTCAGAAGAAAAAGTAGGAGTTGGGTTCAATTTTGGATGCATCCATTATTTCACATAGTTAGGAAAGATCTGGCATTACAGGTATCAAAAGTTACAGTGCTTCCACATCAGCTGATCAGCTGTTTTATAAATAGAAAATCAGCAGAAGACAAAACTATAAATATTTATGGTAACAGTATAATCAGTACTGTTTCCTCATTTTCACTGTATTCACAACTTAATAACACCAAACTTTCTCGTGTGCCTTAGCACTTCATGTCCGCAGTCAATCAGTGCAAGAGACAAACCAAATCTGCCTCCTGTGGGTTCCACTGCACATTTCCCCTGCAGAAAGCTGAGCTGCTCTCCACCCCTCCTCTGAAGATGCTCCCCTCACTTTGTTTTCAGCAAACTCTGTTTTTTCCCTTCTCTTCAAAGGTTCCATCTTCTGACCCACCCTTGCCTCAGCTGCTTTGATCTTACACACAGTCGCATCCCTCTGCGAGTGGCAGCGGCAGATTCTCTGT